AGTTTTCACTGAGAAATCAGCTGTCACTGACAGATTCTCTTTTATATGTGACTTGCATTTTTTCTCTTTTAGTTTTCCATATACTTTCTTTGTTATGTATAGTTATTGTTTTAGTATATCCTAGGGATTTTCATTTCTGATCTTGTCTATTTGGTATTCTTTTGTGCTTTTTGTTTTTGTATGGATGTGTCTTTCCTTGAAGTGCGGTGTTTTCTTCTATGATCATGTTGAAGATCTGTGCTATTAACTTGGTATGTGTATCCCTCATCTGTACCAATAATCAAAAGTGCTGTGGATATTGCTCTGCATAAATAAAATGCTGACTGGCCAGTAGCCAGGCAGGAAGTATAGGTGGGATAATGAGAGAGGAGAATGCTGGGAAATGAAAGGCTGAGTCAAGAGAGATGCTGCCAGCCACCTTCAACATGAGAAGATGTTATGATACTAGTAAACCACAACCCAAGTGGCAACTTATAGATTAATAGAAATGGGTTAATTTAAGATATAAGAACTAGATAACAAGAAGCCTGCCATGGCCATACAGTTTATAAGTAATATAAGTCTCTGTGTGTTTATTCAGTTGGGTCTGAGCACCTGCGGGACTGGTGGGTGAGAGAGACTTGTCCTGACTGTGGGACAGACAAGACTGGAAAAAAACTCCAGCTACACAAAAGGGTGTTTTTCAGATGGTGTTCTACATGTCTTATGTCTTCTGTGTGTGTTATAAGTGTTCATATGCCTTTGAGTTCCCATCTTAACCTCATTTCATGCTGGACTATACAACTCTAAGGTAATGCTGTTAATCCCCAAGTTGTTTTGGTCAAAATGTTTTATCACAACAGTAGAAAGCTAGTAGGACAAATATGAAGCTGCAGAGATTTTTCTGATTTTAATTTGTTCATGATGTTTAATAAGCAAATGCATGAATATTATAAAAGAAATTAGAATTTCTAAGTGTCAGAAAATCTATAGGCATTTCAAACTTATTCTCTTTGAGATTATGTATGAAAGATACTTTATAGGTACTTTAATATTTTGATTAGAATGTCATAACTTGGGCTGGAGAGATGGCTCAGAGGTTAAGAGCATTGACTGCTCCTAGAGGTCCTGAGTTCAATTCCCAGCAACCACATGGTGGTTCACAACCATCTGTAATGAGATCTGGTGCCCCCTTCTGGCCTGCAAGCATATATGCAGACAGAACACTATATACACAATAAATAAATAAACTTAAAAAAAAAAAGAATGTCATAACTTTATATGACTGTGAGATGCATAGGTGAAATTTTTATAAAACATGTTAAGCAAAGGATGAATTCTTTCCTCTGGGATACAATGATGTTACATGAATATTACTATCTTATGGAAAAGTATCAATTATATCCAGATGTAGTGAGTAGCCATTCCAACCTTGATCTGGAAGTTCCAATCTCCATTTAGGCTTTAGTAACTGTCACGTCTATGAGGTGGGGTCAAGAGAGGACCCTGAAGACCCAAGATCCCAATGCGCTGGCTCTCTTTGGTTCCTGGACCTTGGACGCTGGAGGTAGACCAAGCAGAGTTCTCCAGAGAATACTGCTGACTGCGCCACACCTTCCCCAGACCCTGTGATCTACCTATCCCTTCATTTGTAAGTTATGCCACTAAATAAACCTCCCTTTTAACTATGTGGAGTGGCCTTAATAATTTCACCAATATCCAACCACCACCGTTGTTTTATGGAGAAGACCAAAGTGAATTTAGCCAATAATGTGGAATCAAGATGAGTTTCTTCACACCACCATTTAAAAGTGTTATATTATTTTTCCTGAATATTACAATGTGCATTTTATCAGCCTTTATAAATATGGAATTTGAGGTGGATTGTATTGTTTATCCTTAAAAAAATTCACCCTTATCCATCATGTGTATATATTGTACTTGAAAGATTTACTATTTCAGATTATGTAAGGAGAAATGTGATGCTTAGATGCATTAATGAGAAAAATTTGGCTTATTAATTTACATTTAATATATATACTTCTAACTAATTTCTTTATTTGAACTTTTGTAGGTTTAATTATGCCCATGTCTACAGGATCCTTTGTTTCTGTTTCTGTAAAGTACCCAAAGGCATAGAATTCTTCAGAATTTTGAGGATTGTATTTCTATAATACAGGTATGTATAGCACACTAAATTTGAATAAGCTTTTGTATTATTGGTCTTGTTGACCCTTTTGAAATAAATTATTCCTCCAAACTTGTGTCTTGTTCAATTCTTTTGGAATATGTTTTCAATGCATTCAATGAGTGCCTAAACCTGAATAATGTGTTTGTTAGTGATATTATGTTCAATTTTGGTTAACAGTAGTATATATATAACCATTAAGGGCCATTCATAAAAATAAAGATCTATTTATTTATTCATTTATTTAGGTTTTTCAAGACAGAGTTTCTCCATTTAACTTTGGCTGTCCTGGAATTCATTCTGTAGACCACGTTGGCCTCAAACTCAAAGAGATCCCACCTGCCTCTGCCTCTCAAGTGCTGGGATTAAAGGACTGCACCATTACCACCCAGCCCATACAGGTCTTTTTTTCTTATCTCTTGTGGTTGATCATATATTGCAGCACATAGGTACCTCCCAAATTAACTTTAGATTGGACTTTGGTGTAGTAATCTTTGACAAATGTGACATTAGTAAACATCTTCCTTTCTAGCTTCTGAAAATTCAACTTGCCATAGACAAAGAACAAATCACTAGCAAGTTCAAATGACAGACATGTTAGTGAACCCAGCTGCTAGATGGCTGAACATCCATGAGTTACCCAGCTAAGACCAGATAAAATGCCCAGCTAAACATTCTACAAAGAACTATGCTTGTCATGGATATCAAATTATGAAATATTATTACAATAAAGAATATGTTTAATACAACATAATCAAATACTTTTAATTCATATAATATACTTAATAGAACTCAAATAATAGAAAATAGAAAAACAGGAGATACTTTGGAGATAGATTTTTCTCAGTTGTGAATAGACTGAAGGAGGCATCACCTCAGATGCTTCTCTTAGTTTCTGCTTGGTGTTTTGATTCTTTTGCTGAAGAAGTCATTTATTTCTATACAGACAGGTTTTAAACCAAGTTCTAACAAATCCTTCCAGAAATTTTTAAAAGAGTTGCCAGAAGAATATTATAACAATAAATGAAGAAGAAGTAATATATAGTTATGGGGATTCTAGTCTCTAAATGAATGAGAAAAAAAAAGGACAGCTAACTAAACAGGATAATCCAGATTGGGCCTCAGACACCCTGCTGCAGTTGTCCTTTGTGCAGACCACTGTGGCATTTAATTGTCTTGGGTCAAAAGGTTGTTCCATAGTCACCGTTGAATGAAAAATATGTTATTTTAGTACAGATATCCTCTCAGAAACTAGACTTACCTTAGTTGTTATTGAAATAGATTCTAAAGGCTTTCTAAAACAATTAGGCAAATAACATCAAACAAAGAAATACCAGAAATATGAAGATGAAAGGACTAAAGATGTATGACTTCAAGTTCTGAATCTCATCCCCATTTTAGTCAGTGAGTTATAAACTAGTAGTTGTCTATAATCCCTGGGCTAACTGCTGACTTTAAATAAAACTTTATTATACTCAGTGTATTATTTCAGAAATTTATTGTGCAATGTATCTTATTTAAATCATTTAATAGGTTAATTATTTGGATATTTTATCTGTATTTAAGATGAAGCAAGTAGGATGCCAAACTATTTTGAAAGTAACAACACAGTAAACAGTGCCACAGGGCTTTGTTCTTTAGATTGCTTTGTATTTTAATCAAGTAATTTTTCTCAAAGATCCTAGTTCTTTCATTGATTTTAAAGAACTCTGACATCTTGTGTAGTCCCATGGATTTCTAATGAATAAAAAGATAGAACATGAACTTGAATATAGTGAGCGCCTCAAACAGGAATCAACTGGGAGTATTAATCGTGCACACGTATAGATTCCATTTACAGTCTTGACTGAAAAAGCACTCAAGTCTAGCCATAAAATGGTAAGTCCTGATCCTTCTGTCATTTGATTAACAATTATCTGGACTTATGGATGTTTTATTGGTGATATAAACTTTGAATCAGTCTTTCACTTCTTTCTACTCTGTCTTAGTATTTATAGCTCTCAATGTAGAAAGGTGCTGTCAGATTCACAAACCCACAGCAACTACAATCTACCCTGCCACTGATTTACCCTGTAATCTTGGGTACTACACCAAACCTTACTGAAGTTTTTCTTAATTTTCAGAGGTAGGATTATGGCAGTCATGGCTATTGCTAAATTGTGTAAAACATTTAAGGCTTACTGTAGTACAGTCTTGTACCTAATATGATAAACATGTTCCCATGTAGCATAAACTTCCCTAGATGGAGTATAGTGCTTTGAGGGATGCTGGATATTCAATAAATGTTTCCAATGATTATTTAGTGACTTATTTGAAATAAAACAGGCCAAAATATGGGACATATTTTTGATACACTTTGTTAGAGATGAAGGAATAATACCACATGAAAATTACTCATGTTGAATTACTTTAAATGCAAATGAAAACATTACAAATATTTCATATTAGAAGAATGAGCACTCTCAAATTTAATCACTGACCATGAAAGGAATTCTCATACTAGTGTGGAGTTCAAGGAAGAAGCTGACAAGGTAATGTGAGGCAGAGGTGAGTTCACAGGATCATGTCCATTGTGCCCCCTGCCATCATCCAGCAGGTAGTATCTTTGCTTAATCCAGTGGAAAAGACAAGAATGTATTTTCCTCTCATACTTGCCTTCTATAAATCAGTAAAACTTAAATTAGTTTTTTTTGTCTTTTAAAGTGATATTTTGCTAGCTTTCTCTTCCCTAGTCAAGGGGTTTCTAATGGTTATGCCAATTAGAGGATGGATTTGAAAGTGTTATATTCTCTGGGAATACTGTGGCCACAGAAGAAAAATAAATGATGCATACCAGAATTGGAGCAGGTAGCTCCTCATCATCTTCACAAATATCCATGAGGGTCTATCCAAACAGGTGCCCAGTGTTTAGGGCTGATGTGTCCAGACAGACACAGTCAGGGGCCTGCAAAAAAATCCAGTTTATGAAAGAACAAATTCTTCTAACTATTCTCTCTGAATCTGAGGAAGAATGGAGGTCATTACTTGTAGTAGTATGATGATTTTCCTAAATGGTAATTAGGAAACATTATAATAATTGCTTCAATACACAGTATACATTAAATAATTTCAAAGTGAACACAGGGGGCATGATGTAGATGGTGTAAGACATTTCACCAAATATTTTATCTACCTGGTCATTTATCGTTTCTTAATCACTCACTAAATAAATTAGGCTCACTATTGATAGGATCCTGATTCTGGGAACCAATATTAAGTCAGTTATTCAGAGCTCTAGATAAGTATCTTTCCCTTGAAATAGACTCAGAAGTCAGAAAACTAGTAAGGGACAATGAAGAGAAATTTCAAGGCAGGGGAAATAGAACACAATGATACAGAGAAGAAAAGTAAACATGGAGAAAGAGGTAAATGATATAGGAGTTAGAAAGCAGCATAGAGGAGTGAATACTAGGAGGATAACTAACATGAAAAAAATTTTGAAAAGCCATCTGGTAGACAACTATTGTAGAAGCTGCCTAAAATATATATACATATACATATGTAAAATAGTGTAAGTGGAGTTGCCCACTAACAGGTGATGATAACCAGGCTAGACTGCATAGTCTAATAAATGTAAGAATAGTGCTAGAAATGAGATATTCTTTGTGAGCTGTTGGCTAGTGGATCCCAAAGATTTCCAACAGGCTACTGACATTGATCTTGGTTACCCTCAGAACTTGACACTAAGCTATTGTTGGAGATAACATATGCTTGACTCACAGAAATGGAGAAATCAACCTGGTATGACCTGGAAGTTTCCTTCCATCTGTGCTATGCACACTACTGGAGAATAAGAGTAACCATCAATCTTATCTTGGTGTAACCCTGTAAGCTACAATAATAGATGTCCTGTCAAGATTTGCCCAGTGATGCAATAATTGCACAAATGCCGAGGGGTTACCAATGTTACATGTTCTGAATGTATTAAAGTCCAAACCTCAAGATGGAATACATAACTGACACCATCATCAGGACCAATAACCTTAACTAGATGGGCTGAGGCTTAAGCAAGAAACTATCACTATTTTTTTTACTAGTATATCTACATAGTATTAAACCAACCCTTAATAACTTATCATTATACAATAGATTAGTGCAATTCTAACTCCTCATCAGAGTTGTTTCTTTGGCAGTAGATAGTGATTTAACACCCAGATTTAATCCACAGCTGGTCTATGTGAAGAGAATAAAAGGCTGCAGAGTTCAGAATCCTGGTATCTCAAGAAGTCACAGTCCTTCCTCCTATGGCCTAGTGGTACTTTCACAAGAGAGCATAAAGACTGTAAGAGAGGAAAGAACTGTCTGACGACAATGAAACAATGTTTTCTACACACCAAGCAGCAGCTGCCAATATGAACTCACATGCACAGTTACGATAAATGCACAAGACATGTGCAAGCTCAAAATTCTAGAACTAATCCCAACATGGGGAATGGAGTTGGGCAGAAAGTATCACCCACATGTGATGAGCAATGGAAAATTCCTATCTGCCCAATAGTGAAATTCAGTTTGCTTTAAGGATGTGGTCTCCAATTGGTGCTCCAGTGGACGGCCACACACCTAAGTGTATATGGCCAAAATAAAACTGGGTTTTTAAAATTGTTTTAAGGAAAAATAAAGAGAACACAAAGTTGATGGGTTTAGAAAAAGGCATGAATGTGGGTGAAGTTGTGGAGTTGGGATTAAATGATAAATATACAATATATGAAATTGCAAAAGAATCAATAAAATCTGATTTTATGTTTAATCAGTTTTATTATGAATGAGACTATCTACCCATGAATGAACCCAGATGCAGCCAATATCTTCACAAGTATGGCACTGCCTCCTGCTTCTATGAAAGACCCCTAAATCAGTCCAGCCTTGAGATTACATGGACCTCCTACTGTGAGGCCGTGAACTTGCCCAGGAGCAACAAGTCCCTAAAAATGAACCTGCCTCTTACTTTTTAATTCAGCTCAATTGGATTTATTGCAGCAGGAGTTATCATTCATTTGGTGACCTCCTGCTTGGCAGTCCGGGTCCCAGAGGCGAGCTGCAGGACCCTCCTCTTTGTTCTACCCTGGCGGAAAGCCTGGCTAGATCAACCTGTAACTCCTTCTTTCTGGAGAGTGGTAGTTACACAGGCACCAGGTGCTTATTTGCTTTTGTTTTTGTTCTTTATTTCTGACATAAGTTGCAGCCACACTAGAAAAAGCCCACAGTAGAACAAAGGCAGCCTTTGTTCTGAAAAGACTTGGTGGCTCCAGAGACGCCTCCTCCCTAAGACTTCTCCATCCCATAATCCTCCCTCAGGCTACCTTAAAAAAGGATGCTCAGTGCTAACTTTGGGTTTATGCTGCAGCTTTAGGGGATGGGCAACTCTGGATGATTGAACTGTGATCTTCAGTCACCCCTGGGGTGTCTGCTGTGAATTTTTCTAAATTGGGGCTTTCCCAGGCCATAGACCCTAAGAGATGGCAATATATTTGGGATAATGAGTCCAAGTAGCCACCAGACGGCACCCTTGACTTGAACAGCCTTCTGATTCAGAAAATTTTTTAAATATTCTGTCAAGCAACCTGAGCTCCCTTTACATACAGGGATCCTGGGATTTACACTCCTAATGCTTCCCCTGGAGCCAGTGCTCCACAGCTCAGATTCTGCTGGCCAGGGTCAAACAGCTCTCAGCTGTGCTTCCACAGGGAGGGACAGACTGCCTGAAGCTCTGGCTTCCCCTCCTCGACCTCTGCCAGCTCTGTCCCCTACTCCTTCTACTCCTTCTCCTATTTAATCCACTCCACCCACCTTGCCCCCTACCATCATCCCTAAATCCCTTTATCCACCCCTTTCAGCTTCTACACAGGAACCCAAAGCCTCCCTTCCCCTGACCCCAATCCTCTTCCCTCTCTGACTCCTTCTCTTTCACTGTCAAGAGCTCCACCCTCTGACCAACACTTCCCTGTGTGTCTGTCCTCCTTCTCCAAGGGCACACAGACTCTTCCCTCTGGACTTCTGTCTCCTGTCACAAGTGACACAGTTGTCTGCCACTTCAGGGTCCTCCCCTGTGGCTGCCCACACAGGGTCCCAACAGGACCCCGCTGGCTTCTGCGCCCTCCTGGAGTTGACTGGAGTCGAAGGTGTCTTTTGGTTCATGTTCCCTTCTCCCTCCAAGATCTTGCTAACATTAAACAATGGCTGGGCTCTTTCTCCACTAATCTCTCTGCCTACATAAGAGAGTTCTGTCATTCAGCTCAAATCTATGATTCAACCTGGCATGATATCTGTGTTATTCAGTCCTCCACTCTTACCTGTGAGGAGTTCCAGAGAGTCTAGGTGAAGGCCAGACAGTAGGCAGACCAGACCCATTTGGTGGATCTTATGACTCTGGTGGGTCATGCATGCAGCCCTATTCCAAGACCCTGACTGGGACAACCAGCAGGGACAGGAGGGACAGGAGGGCCACCAGAGGAGGAACATTATGATTCCATGCCTCCTGAAAGGCATGAATATAATTTCTAACAAGGTAGTTAACTTTGATAGACTTCACGAGGTTACCTAGCAAACAGATGAGAACCCAGCGGTTTTTCTTAATAGATTACAAGAGGCCATGACTTACCTTGACTTGGCCTCTCCAGAAGAGTCCATGGTAATGGCCTCTCCTTTTATTTCACAATCGGTTTCAGACATTTGAAAAACAAAGACAAACAAATTAAAAAAGGTTGAGAGCAGTCCCCAAACCTGATTCAGGACTTGGTGAAGATGGCCAAGTCTTCCTGTCAAGCTCCAGTGAAACAGATACTTAGCCATTGATGCCCACGCCCTAGCAGCGGCCCTAAGGCCAGCAACATCCCTGCAAAAGGGACAGGGAAGATCTCTGAGGCCCCATCCTCCCCCCCCACCCCCCGCAAGGTGGGGGCAAAGTCGGTTCCACTCAGAACCTACTTTTGATGTGTCAAGGAAAGCCACTGGTCCAGCATCTTCCTAATCCCCTCCCACTGACAAAGGTGTGCTCTCTCTGCCAGCAACCTGGCCACTGGAAATCAGAGTGCCCCAATGGGAGCTTAACCCCTGTGCCACACCACAGAGGCCCAGCCTCACCATCAGGGTCATTTTAAACTCCAGAGGCCATTGAACTTCTCAATTTGGCAGAGAAGTGACAGTGTCCAACCTGGGAGACCCCCCATTACCCTATCCATGCCTAAGCAGGTAATTCCACCAACTTCCTAGTGGACAGAGGGACTACCTTTCCAGTCCTCACCTCTCACTCTGGCCCTACAGTCCCTTCACTGGTCTCAAATACAGATACAGTTTGTGTTAAAGGATTTTAAAATACTAAAACTGTAACCCATCACAGCGGGTTGCTTTCTGTTATGATGCTAGTATTATACAATGAATTTATATAAAGTGTTATCAACTTGATTCTTGATACAAATAACATGTTTACCAATAAACTGTGATGCAAATCAAGTAAAAAAAATAGCTGGATTTTCACACCACAATAATATCAACCAAAATATGTTTAGCACAATTTCTTTTCTTTTGTAAACACTTCCCCAATAGATAATGTGTTTTCATTAGATGAAGAAATAACAATGCAGTTACACTGGAATTATTGGTGGGAAATGGGAACAGAATGATTAAGAACCTGTAAATTTAGGACCTTGAAGGAAGGCAAGAGACTCACTGCTCTGGTGTTTGGGTGGGTCCTTGGGCTTCAGGATGAATAGTCCTGGCACATGTGGGGACTGCCTTGTTAATATCAAGATAATCAGTGTAGTCACTTGGCCCCACTGCCACAAAGGTAGAATTTCAAAAGTCACCCATTCTCATGGTATATGGGTTCTCATGTCCTATGTAGAGAAAATATTAAATAAAGATTAATGGTAATAGTGATGAATGATCAAATAGACCTTTTGATGAGCATGAGCACAAGTTGAAATGAGCTGCAGTACTGCTCTGACTCCTGGAATCATCAGGGAAGAAACTTTAGTGAAACAGGTGTCCAAGCATGGACTTTAAAAGTTTAGAGGATAAAATTCGTACATGTTGCTTTGCTGCACATCATATACACTGGAGATCTGCTATAGCCTTCTAGCTCTAATCATTTTAGTCATGTGTCCTCCATTTTAGTCAAGAGTTATCATGAGAGAAGAAAATACATTAATTTCTTGTTGGTTACTATCTTTTCAAAAATTTAACAGTACATGTTAGAATAGCTCAGCATTTTCTCCAACATGATTCCTGACAGATTTATAGATACAGCTCATTTCCATTTGTAAATTCTGAAACCGAGTATTTCTTGTGGAGTGGAGTGGTTTTCCTTAGTTTTTCCTCCACTGTTTTCTACCTGATGCCTATAAGGAAAAAGTCACACGATACTAGAAACACTGAAGTCCCTGCAAAGCTGCATTTACAAGACAGAAGACTATGTCTAGTAACTAGACACTGTCTAGTTAGTGTTTCCATGTATAATTCTTTGTTTGTTGTTTCATGCTGTTAACTACTTCCTCTACAGGAATTCTCAAAGATCCTGTATGTCAAAATGGCTCTTCTTTCTTATGGGAAGTCTCCTTTCCTTATTTCTCATTAATCACTGATGAAACTTGGAAGCTCTTGCTTTTCCCTTACTTGTGGGACAGATGCAATGCATTTGGGACAAAAGCTAAAGCAGCAATGTAGTTTTTTCAGCAGCAATGGTTGGGGGCCAGGAAGTTTCTATAGGATAGACATAGTAACATCTACAAGGGCATGGGGATAATTGTTAATGAAAGCATGAGAACTGAGTGTTCTGGCATTCAGAAGAATCCTGTGCTGGTTAGTGTTATGTCAACTTGACACATTAGCTGGAGTTCTGTGGGAAGAAGGAGTCTCAACTGACAAATGCCTTAATACATCTATCTGGCCTGAAGGCACATATATGGTTCAATTTCTTAATAGTGATTATCTGTGACATGCATGGTTTGAGTCCTGAAACCCTCACTAGGGGCTGTGAGGCAATGAAGGAAGGACTGACACGGAGACATACATTCTGTGGACTAGGCAATATTCTAACCATCCACAACACAGACCTTCAAGATGTTTATTAGGTACAACACAGGGGTAGGAGTCAGCTATTGTTCCAGGGGGTCTCTGTAGGTGACTACTTCAAGCTTCCTGGAGGAGGAAGCTGTAGTTGCTAGTCTTGCACACCCTGGTCAATCTTTTATAAACATTCAAACTCAGATTCTCAAGGAAAACTGTGCCATTTCTCTTGAGCCAGGTCCATAGAAGGAGATAGCTTTACCAAATAACCTATGTGCCCAGTCTTTGAAATCCCTAATGCTGGGGGATGTTTTCTGTATGTTAAATGTGTTGCTCTGATTGGTTAATAAATAAAATACTGATTGGTCAGTAGCCAGGCAGGAAGGATAGGCAGGACAAGGAGAGAGGAGAATTCTGGGAAATGGAAGGCTGAGGCAGAGAGCTGCTGCCAGACACCACCATGACAAGCAAGGTATAAGGTACTGGAAGGCCACGAGCCATGTGGCAACTTATAGACTAATAGACATGGGTTAATTTAAGATATAAGAACTAGATAGCAAGAAGCCTGCCACGGCCATACAGTTTGTAAGCAATATAAGTCTCTGTGTGTTTACTCGGTTGAGTCTGAGCAGCTGTGGGACTGGCGGGTGAGAGAGATTTGTCCTGACTGCGGACCAGGCAGTACTGGAGAAAACTCCAGCTACACCCTAACATGATCATGGCCTTGTCAAAACACACATTCACTCAAGGCTTCTCTCATTCAGAGATTCCTCTGCTCCCTACAAATTGATGTGGGTCAGTCCATCCTATATGGGTGGTGCCTCCCCTGGGCTTGATGATTTAAGAAAGAAGACTGAGCAAAGTAATGTAGACCAAGACAAGTAAACAACAATTCTACATGGCTTCTACATCAGCTCCTGCTTCCAGGTTCCCAGCTTGTTTGAGCTCTTGGTCTGACTTTCTCAGCAGTGGACTATTAGAGGAAAATGAAAGAAACCCTTTCTCCTCCAAGTTGATTTTGGTCATGGTGTATTATCACAGTGATATAGAACCTAACTGAAACATGACCACCATGATTGACAGGTTATAAGGAAACCTCAAGCCAAACATGGTGCACAAGGCTGTTATAATTCTTAAGGTCAAGACAACATTTTATAAAGTTAATACACATATTAAAATAAAATAAATGTAGTTCCAATTTCTGTCTGCTCTCTCCCACTGTATGTCTTAGGTACTATTTGTATTTTTAGACTGACCAGATATTGTTGCATGTATAGCTTTTATGGTATGCAGCAATACACAGCCTGTCAAAGAATAAGTGCAGTTCACAGCTCTAATTGGTACATCTAAAATGCAATTTCTCTACCTAAGGTTAGGCAGCTTCCTGGGAGAGTAGGAAGAAAGCTTGTGAAAGCCAGAGAACCAGGACATTTCCTAGGAGATGCTGTCTTCAGTATATGAAAGGAAAACTACACACATGAAATATCAACAATATAATTGCCAAAATGAGACTTAAAAAGTGGCCGTGCTAATTGAACTGCCACTGTGGATTGGGGTAAGTCTCACAAGACTCACCCTTAGATGAAGAGCTAAAGACAGTCAATGGCTGTTCAGAGGAAGAAACAGTATTTCCCAGGGATGAACTAATAGGTTACCCTGTCCCAATTGCTCATCTCTAAAAACATACCCATATGAGCAACACTAAATATGCTTTCTCCCAGCTGTACACACACACACAAAATCAACCAAACAACAAAACAAGATTAATTTTAAAAGGTCATGAAATTGAAGGGGGTGTGAAGAGATTTGGTAAGAGATTAAAGGGCCAGATGTAGAGATGGAAATGATATAAATATAATATTCATGTATGAAATTCCCAAATGAATATAAATTTTAAAAGATTTTATCATATACTTGGAAAAGGGTCAAGACTCACTAAGTACTTAAGTATTATTTAATATATGAAAGAACATTTCATATGATGTTTACTTTCATGGATATTTAAGCTTAAGAAAAACAATGAAAACTTGAACAATTTAGGATTAATGATTTTTTAACTCAATCAATGCCCCCTCAGGTTTCTCAGATGCTTACCCAGGAGTGGGCATGGCGCTTTCCCCTGTCTGGAAGAGAACCACAGTTGATAATCTTCCTCTCTGGAAAACAGAAGACCCAAAAGTCACACTGTACCTTTCTCAGTACACACTTTAAATGCATTTTTTCTTTCCTCTTCTGCATCTCTAAAACTGGAAAATATTGAGGCCGGCAAGAATTCTGTATAAGAGGAGGCTGCCATTGGAAATTAACAGTGGTGAGTTCAGTGGTCCCTGTTCCCCCTGAGAATAAGCAGAGAATGGAAGTTTCTGCCTTTTCATCTCTGGTAGAAAAGATTTGTCAATGCAAAATATATTTTTCCTGCTACATTTTTGTGACACTGGGAATTAGAAATCACTCCATGCCCTGTCTCCAAGCAAGAAAAGTTTTCCTGTCACCCACGTCCCTATAGGCTTTTGGTAATGTTGAGCTTTGCCATAATATCTTCCTATCCAGACACCTGATTATCCCAGTGCCACATGCCTACCCTCTCTGTGATGACTAAGCAAAGCTAAATTTAGAAGCCTTAGAACCTCAGCAAGCTGAGTAAAGGGGACAAAAAACTAGAGAGGGCTGGAGGAGACTTGAACATGAAATCAAGATTTGACCTTCATTCAGAGGTCCCAGTCCTACAGAGAAAAAGGACAAATAGAAATCCTTCATAATAACCCAGTAGCAAAAACAAGATCCACAACTGATTTACAGCCCATCACCCTGGGATCCAATGAATCAAGCAAATGTAAACTATGTAGCATCTATTGAGTTACGTAAGAGTCCCACATGAGATGCCAAAGAAAAATGCATAAAGTAGAGTTATGGCTTATTAATAACTTGTTTACTTTTGATTCTTGATAGAAAATAATGACCTTTACTTGCAGAATGAGATCACATTTATGATATTATGATAATTAGTAAGTGTACTCCTACACATACATGTATATACACACATACATACACACACTAAAATTAATATATATGAATGAATGGCCTATGTTCAAAGTGATTTTCAAAATGTTTCCCTCTTTACAAGTTATTTCATGCATCATCTATTAGATTCTTGTGACAAGTATTCAGAAGATACAGCTTTAGTGACATATTTTAGTTGAAATTGTATATCAGACCTGTCATTTTGTAATTATTAGTTTGAAACTTTGTCCTTATGGAATAAATCAGTATCAAAAATATTTACACGACAAAGAAGATATAGAAACAATGGCACCAAAAGATATCTAGTGATTTATATTAACAACTTTACATCATGTTCATTGGGTGTATACAAATATTTACAAATAATTCACATATACATGCATTTTCATGTGCAACATACACAGACATACACATTGTTTATTGTGCTCTAGTGGTAAAATGCATTTCACATGCTGCTCATTGATATGAAATTTTACTGGAGAATACAGGAGGAGTGGCCACATATAGACTAATATATCTGTTGACTTTACTTCTGAAAGTGAAAGGAAGATGGAAATTTTTCATACATAGTAATCAAGCATTTGGCAGTGATGTTTATACACTTATTTAAATATTAATGGATCACAGAAAGGCATTGAATAAATAGAGTTTCCAAGTCTCTTACAGGTATTCCCAGCAATGGTCATAACTTTCTGATGATATCATTCACTGTGTCCAATTGTGCTGCTGTTACAGTGAATGACTATAGAAAACACAGCAAAAATGTAATGACTAATGTTTATGAAATACATGATTTGATAGCTATTTATCCAAGCATTTTCCACATCATGTAACCAAAACTCAGTTTAGTTAATGGCAAAGTAAACACATGTAAGGCTCAAATTATGAGTATGGTTTTTCTTTTCTTCATATAACCTGAGGGCAGTAATAGAGATTTTAGTTTAATATATATTTCTTTAAGGATTTTGATCAGTCAAAATATAATAGAATGTGCACTGATGAACTGGATTTTGGGGGATGGTAAAACAAAAGTGTTAAAGGGAAATCCTTTCAGAATCTAGTAATGTTACATTAATTTTGTATCAATAAACAAACTGCACACCACAAGCTAAAACCATAAAACTCCTAGGTCAAAGAATGGGTGACTTCTATTGGAGTTTTTGGAGTTTGAAAAAACTTCTATGTTTATTTTCAGCATTGCTCACACACTATGCACAAAAACGTACACATGCACACAATACACACAAAAATCCCCAATAAACAAACAAATGCTATTTCTAAGTATACAGATAAACTATAGTTATATAAAATAATTTTCTTATGCTTGAGCATAAGCTTGTAAGATAAAAGAGCCACAGTGCATTTAACCATTCACACAAACATGAACAGATGTATACACAAACACACACACACACACACACACACACACACACACACACACACACACATGAGTATTAACGATCAGGTGAGTAAGGTAGAGTACATGTTATTTTTGTCTTGTTTTAAAGTTTTATATATGGTTATAACTATACTCACATAAAGAAAAACTATTTTAGAATAACTAAAAATCATTTAAAATTTGGTAAGAACAAATAATTGAATCTAAAGAAGCAATAACAATTGAGAAAAATACATTATTACAGTGATAAATATCTTCAAAGGTGTTTTATAATAACACCTCTCTCAATTTAAGTCACCAGACACAAAATAATTTGTTAAGCATATTGTACTGTAACCAATATGGATCAATCCTGCCTCATAGTAACTAGTACTCTTTTATATAGGCAAAGACATATTTGTATGCATGAAAATATTTTTTTTACATAGCACTATCTACTTTTTCAACCTCCCTCCTCATCTTCCTCTTGTCACCAGCCTTATCTTAAAATTTCCTCCTGTTTTTCCTCCCTTGCCCTATTACTGCCTCGGTCAGTTTCATGCAAGGAAATATTGGTCTTTTGAGCATATGCAGTATTCCAGCTCAGGATGTCCTCTGTATCTCAAGTGCAATACTCTTTCCACAGTCTTTCTCCTTATGTTCATTAATGGATCTGGTCAAATTCATTAAAAACACACAAAAGTGAAATTGTCTAGTTGCTTGTTTTCATGTTAATAAAGGATATAGTATCAAAATTTAAATTTTAAATTGATAGATTCAGCAACAACTTTTGCAAAAATAAAAAAAAAAAAAAACAGGGTGTGTTCCAGAAGATAACAGGTTGCCCTAAACTGTGACATTTAGGAAGCAGATTTGGTTCTGAAAACATTAGTGCCCACATTAGAGGGGTCATGATCATACATGGCTCAAAACCAAGAAGCAGTATTTCCTTTGAGTATGCATAGTAAAGTAACTTGTATTGATAGTAAATTAATATTATATTCCACAATACTGTTTCATCTAACATAAAGGTTGGAGAAGGAAAGTATGAAGATAGAAGCCACTACTTCCTCAAAGTTGAAAAAGTGAGAAATTCCAAAACCATCCAGGAAACATAAACAAGATTGATGTTTGGAGATAGTCTAATCCTGATGCCAAAACCAAACAACCAACAACCAAAAGGAAAATAAAATGCCAACATCTCTGATGAAAATACAAGCAAAAATTATTAATAAAATATTTGCAAACCAAATTAACACAAACAGATTTCCCATAATGTTCAAATCAGTTTCATCCCAGAGATGGAGCAAAGTTTCAACATTTGTAAATTAAAAAACATAATCCACTTCATACATGGACTAAAGGATAGAAAGATGATCACAACATTTGATTCATAAAAGACTTTTGACAAAATACAATATCTATTCATGATAAAAAAGTCTTGGAGAGAAAAGGGATACAAGGAATATATTTCAATGTAATAAGGCACTATACAAGAAACTCATAGACAAGCACCTTTTTCTCACTTCTCCTCAACATAATTCTTACAATGTTAGCTAGAGCAATAAAACAAGTGAAGGAAATGAAGCAGATACAAATGAGAAAGGAATATGTAAACATATATTTATTTCCATATGATAAGATTCTATATATAACAAACTAGAGTACACACAAAAATTCCCAGATCTGATAAATATTTAGAAAAGTATCAGAAAACAAAATCAAAACACAGCCATCAGTATCCTTCTATATACAAATGACAAACACAGAAAGAATGAAATCAAGGAGATAATTCCATTCTCAATAATCTAATAAAGCAAAACAAAACACAACAAGAAACTAGAAATAGATCTGACCAAGGAAATGAAAGATTTGTGCAATGAAAACTTTAAAACACCAAAAGATAATTGAAGATACCAGCATATGGAAAGATCTCCCATGCTCATGAATCGGCAGGATTAACGTTGTGAAAATGGCTATGCATCATGTATTCAATGCATTTGCCTTTAAAATTCCAACAAAATTTTCACACAAATTAAAAATCATTTTTGAATTTCATATGGAAATACAAATGACTGAGGATATTTAGAACAAAACTAGATATTAAACATCACCATTAACAATAACAAAAATGCTAGAGGTATCACCATACTAGATCTCAAGTTATTTTGTAGTACAATAGTAAATACAAAAATTATACTCTCATAAAAAGAGTCACTTATCAAAGGAATAGAATTTATGTCTTCAAATAAACCCACATTGCTACAGTCATCAGAATTTTTACAAAGAAGCCAACCATACACATTGGAGAAGATACAGCATCTTCAATCAATAGTACAGTTCAAATTGAATTGCTACATGTAGAAGAATAAAATTTAATCCTTTCCTCTCACCCTACACAAAATTCTGATATCCTGGACCTTATATAGGAGAAAATTAGGAAATATATGCATACTCATTGGCACAGGAAAGTACTTTCTGAACAGAATGCCAATAGTGCAGACATAAAACCAACAGCTAATAATTGAGTCCTCATGAAACTAAGAAGTTTCTACACAGCAAAAGACACAATTCTTTGGCAAAGGGGCAGCCTACAAAATGAGAAAATGTCTTTACCATTTGTGTCTGGAATATATAAAGAACTGAAAAAATGATCAATAAAGTAAGCAACACAAATAAAAATTGGAGGATAGGGCAAAAAGAGTTCTCAAATGATGTCATACAAAGAAAAACACTTTTTAAATTTTAACATCATTA